TGGCATTCACCTACTTGCCACCATTCTCACAGTCACTTGTCCTTAAGCCATTCTTTTCTTCATGAATTAATAAAACCCAGGTTCAGCCCTGGGTCAAGGCATTTGTTCCGTTAGCCATCATCATAGCTGGGCTTAGGACACCTTGGCTCCCCATAACTACAAATATGCCTTAGTGTCTTTATTCTTGCCATGGGTTACACTGGAAGTGGTAGCTTGGAATTAACTAGAATTCCAATAACTTTTCCATGGAATTATAAGTATAAACTTCCTGGGCCATGACAAGGACCAGGAAGGGTTCTCTATACCTTTACATTAGGGCCAGTTCAACTACCTTGGCACCTCCAAGACTTACTCTATTACATCTGGCCTATCCTTTCTCATCTGGCAGATGGATGTCCCCTCCAGAGATGTGCTGGAGGAATCCTCAAGGCTCAATTCCAGGGAATCCTGTAGGTATTTCTCTCTCTCTCTCTCTCTCACACACACACACACTCTTACACATTTTTGCTTCCACATGAAATCCATTTTTGCAAGCATTCATGTGCATGAGACACTCTGGGGCTACCAGGAAACCTAGGCTTCACTGCCTTCCCCAGGCCTCTGGCCCCTGGGGAGGGTTGTGATGAGTGGCACCTGTTTCATTTCTTCCCACTTCCTGTTATTTTTAGGGCTATTTATATGCTCTCTAGAAAGTGGGGAATGCTGGGTGCTTAGCCAAGGCCAAATTCCTGGAGTAGGAGACCAGGTCTATGGACGTTAGGTCCTCCTTCTGAGAGTCTCAAAGGTTGCGTCCAGCATACTTTGTCCTTGCACCTTAGGGAGACTGCACTGGGCCGCCTTTCAGGTCACATCACAGTCCTCCTGTGTTCACCATGCTAACTCCCCACTCTGTCCCTGCCCCTCCTGAGGCATCCAGGCCTGTTCTTCACTGACCTTCCTGCCTTCCCCTGATAGTCATTTCCCTTTAGACCCCAGAGTGACTTATCTTCCTGGCTTCCACTTTTTTTTTTTTTTTTTTTTTTTTTTTGAGACAGGGTCTTGCTATGTAGTTCAGGCTGTCCTTGAACTCACTACATAGCCTGGGATAGCCTCAAATTCACAGTGATCCTCCTGCCTGAGCCTCCAAAGTGCTGGGATTACAGGTGTCTGCTATCACATCCAGCGGTAGCCCCCACTTCTTACCTGAATCCCCCTTAACCACACAAGACATCACAGTGGGTTCTCATCGTGGAAGGACCCTTTGTGACCTAACCCCAGGCTTACTGCTTCCCTTAGGCAAATGTTCAATACAACATCCCAGTGTCCTCGGCCTCCCTCCCAGCCATAAAGAGCTTGGGCCTCAGGGGTATTTCCTGCATTAGCCTGACCAACTTGGATGGCTCACCTACCTCACAGCAGGTGCTGCAATCTGTTGCCTGCCACCTAGGCCCACACCTGCAGAGCTTGTGCCTGGGTGGGGGCAGCCCCACAGAAGCATCTTTTGTGGCCCTGATCCTAGGATGCCCAGCCCTGCGCATCCTTGACCTCAGTGGCTGTAACAGCCTCTTCACATCAGGCATGCTGCTGGCTCAGCCTGAGACAGCACAGAATGTCCGGCAGGCATTGAGTGGCCTCTGTGAGCTCAACCTCGCTGGCTTGCGAGACCTGGGTGACTTCAGCTTTAACCAGCTCGGCAGCTGTGCACCCAACTTGGAGCGCCTCTCCTTGGCCTACTGCCACCTCACCTTCCAGCTAGGTGCAGCTCAGGGCCCTATCAGCACTCAGGACTCCTATTTCTCCAAACTCTCCTTCTGCAATGTGCTCCGATTTATAAAAGAACGAGCTAGCAGGCTGCGTGCCCTGGACCTGAGTGGCACTGGCTTGCCACCTGAGGCCCTCCAGGCTCTGGGCCAGGTGGCTGGGCTGCAGCTGCAGGAACTGAGCTTGCACAGCTGCCGGGACCTCTCCACAGAGGCTGTGGCCACTCTGTGCCGCCAGCAACCAAGACTTACCTCTCTGGATCTCAGTGGCTGCTCAGAACTGACTGATGGGGCACTCTTGGCCGTGAGCCGGGGCCTGCAGCACCTGCAGTGCCTGAATCTGGGGAAACTGCAACGACTGACAGACGCGGGGTGCACAGCCCTGGGGCGCCTGCGGGAGTTGCGGAGCCTGGACATGGCTGAGTGCTGCCTGGTGAGTGGGCAGGGACTGGCCCAGGCTCTGGGCTCAGTGCATGGGGCTCCATCCCCACTGACCACCCTCAGGCTGGCCTACTGTTCTTCGCTGAAGGTGAGCGTACCATCTCTTTCTCAGGGTGGAGGTGGGGTAAGCTGGGCCTATGGCTGCAGGGAGGGACTACCAGTGTTTGCATCCAAGAAGTACTAGTTACAGCTGAACTTGGGCCACGGTCTGCAAGAAGACAGCAGTCAGACAGAAGATGGTGCTAGTGCACTTCCCCAGAGCCCCCACTGTGGACCCTGGCAGAGGGAGGTCCAACACAGCAAGGGTGGCCTGGTCTGTGAGGTGACCTAGCACCTCACTGCCAAGTGACTGCTGCAGTCTTGGCAGGTGTGCTGAGGACAAGTGTTCTGAAACAGAAAGGCTGGAGAAGGGGGCAATAGAAGAGAATGGCAGGGAAGGAGCCACAGAGAAGGTGTTTGGGCAGAGTCTGTTGGAGGTAATGTGACATGAGAGCACCAGGGCCACTTCCTGGCTAAAGCTAAACCTTTGTAGGGTTTAATCCTGTCTCGCTGGGCAGCCTCTTTGTCTAAAAATGTCAGTCACACTTTCTTGGATTATTCCTTCTCTGACAAGGGCATTCCCAGCCTAAAACATCAACCTTGTTTTGCACTGTCTCTTCTCTGCCCATTCTGTCTTCTGTTTGCCACCAGAGTCTCTTAGCTGCTCTCCAGGCCCTATGTACCTGTGCCTCTACAGCTCCCTCCAGGTCTTCTAAAACTACCTTCCTCTGCTCTGCCTTTACCTCCTGCTGCCCCCACCAGACTTCTCCTAGTAGGTGGTGGTCCTCACTACCACCACCACCTCATAGTTGTGTTTCAAATTCTGGAGGGAGAATATCTCATTGGCTCAGCTAGGGTCAGCTGTTCACCCCTGGCCCAGTGAGCTGTGGAGCAGACAGGTAGCTAGCTGCTTTAGAAATTTCCACCTGTCTTCTTCCTGCTCCAGCCATAGCATAAGAGTTTGTCCTTCAGCAGACTCCTCCAGACATCCCACCCCCACAGCCCACCCTGTCCACTCTAAACTTTCACAACTACCACAGGGACCTGGATCCCCTGGCAGCTCCCTGTTGCCTTGGAGCAGAAACCTTGGAAAGACCCCCTGCTAGTGACCCCTGCCAAGTCTGGTAGCACAGGCACAAGCTGCTGCTCCAACCTCTCCTCTTCACCTTACTCCTAGGATGCCTCAGTGCTCTCTGTAATCTCAGCACTGGGTCTGAGACTCAGGGTGCTAGATTTATCTTCCTGCATGACCCTCACCAACCGGACCATACAGGCCATCTGCACCCATCTCACCCACCTCTCGGTCCTGCGGCTGGCCTGGTGCCAGGAGCTCCAAGACTGGGGGCTTCTGGGGCTGCAGGAACCATCTGAGGAACCTGCACTAGGTCCTCAGGTGAGGACCCGGAGGTCAGGGAGGCTGGGGCGGCCCCTGGGCTCTACTGCCTTTCTGCTCCTTGAGTCTCTCTGTAGGAGCATTTAAAGGCAAATTCAGGAAGGACTGAAGAGGAGGGGTTTCTTCCCACAGCTGCACCCAGAGCTGGAGCAACAGGCTTCAGAACCCTTTCTTGAGCCACAGGGCCCCTCCCTGCTCATGCTGCAGGCCCTGCAGGAGTTGGACCTCACAGCCTGCAGTAAGCTGACTGACGCCAGTCTGGCCAAGGTGTGGCTAAGGATCCTGGGGATGGTGCCTGGGGACTGGTCCAACCCATTTCTTACTTGGAAAAATGTTTCTTTCTTATTGTCTCCCCTGCATGGGGACAGGGAATCTGGATGGGCTCTAGGTTCTGGGGTCCAGTGCCATATTCCACCAACTGGCTGTAACCCCATTCCTGCAGGTGCTCCAGTTCCCCCAGCTGAGGCAACTGTCACTGAGCCTGTTGCCAGCGCTCACAGACATCGGTTTGGAGGCTGTGGCCAGGGGCTGCCCTAGCCTGGAGCACTTGTCACTGAGTCACTGCAGCCGCCTCAGTGATGAGGGCTGGGCCCAGGCAGCTGGGTCCTGGCCCAGGTTGCAGCACCTCAACTTGTCCAGCTGTAGTCAGCTCACAGAGCAGTGAGTAGGTCTGGTGATACACAGCAGATGGAGCCATAGTGCAGGGGTGGGCTGGGGCTCCAAAATGAGTCAGGCACTCAGCCAGTCTTCTCCCCACAGAACGCTGGACATCATTAGGCAGGTGTGCAAGCAGCTCCGAGTACTGGACGTGGCCATGTGTCCTGGTATCAATGTGGTGGCCATCAGGCGGTTCCAAGCCCAGTTGCCTCAGGTGACTTGTATCCAGTCCCGCTTCGTGGGAGGGGCTGACCTGACCCTGACACTCTGAGGCCAGGTCAGTATCCAGCCCTGCGGCTCAGCCTTCTTCACCCCATAGCCCCAGCCCAGGGTTCTGGACCTGGAGTTTGCCCCAGTGCCTCTTGCCTCTTTCTGCTATAGACTCCTTGTCTAGGAATGGGGGTAGGAGCAACCCAGGGCATCCGGGTTACTTCCTGCCCCAGCCTCCCTCACAACCAGGCAGCAGCCTATCTTCAGCTATATGTCACTGCTGCAGGCCCCTGGAAATGCCAGCTACGTGTTGCTGCTGCAGGTTCCTCCTGTGTTCCACCTGCTCCCTTGAGGCATTCTTCCAGCTCCCACAAATACCAAGCTTTAGCAGCCAAGTTAATTTTACTGGAAACCCAAACAAGATTAAAAATTTCAGATCTTGCCTCTTGTCTGAAGTTCTCTTCAGACCCCTCCCCTCCCCACCTCAGCTGACCCAAAGCCCCACAAGTGCCCCATGCTGTCTCAGGGCTGGTCCACACTGGCCTAACTCAACCAGGTCCTAGCGTCTTCCCCACACAGTAGGAGGCTGAGGCCTTTCCCTGCACAACACCCTGACATGCAAAGACGCTGTCTCAAGCCAGACCCCAGGAAGAACTGATTAATACCTGATTCAGTGAGGATGTCTTGAAAGGGACAGAGGGCATGGGGGAAGCAATAGGACAGCATCTGGGTAGAGGGGTCATTTAGAGGTCATCTAGCCCAACCTGCTAAAGTGCCAGTGACTTCTCAAGAGCAGCTCTGAGAAAGTCTGTCCAGCTAGCTTTCCATGTATTTCCACACACTGTCCCATCTATCTGCCCATCAGCTCTAGGAGCAGCTAGCCGGTACTCTCTGGGTACCTGTAGTCAGGCACTGTGCTTCATGTGGGGATTTAGGGATGCCAGAGCTCTCTTGGGTTCCGTTCAGGCCATCTGGGGAGGCAAATAAGCCAACAGGCAGTCACTCCAATGTGCAGGATGTACAGTGTTCGAATAACAAGTACCTGGGGCCAGGGCCCCAATGAACTTGACCTAGAGGGTCAGGAAGGGAATCAAGGCAGTGAAGAATGGGCATAAAGGAAGGAAGGGGAGCAATCCAGGCAGAAAGAACTATGGTGGTGTACCTGGGCAGCTAGAGCTGGCACTGGAGGGGTGTAAGGAAGATGCCAGCTTGGGCCAAGCACTAAAACCCTTGCAGGGCATAGGCTCTCAGTTGGAAGGGCTAAGTCACAAAATGTTTTCAACCTATCCAGTTTAACATAGTGCTCAATCATGGCAACCTGGACCATTAACCCACGGACATAGGAAGACATTGAAGAATATAGTGTGTGTGTGTGTGTGTGTGTGTGTGTGTGTGTGTGTGTGTGTGTGTGTGTGTAATCATATCCAGTTTGAGAAAGCAATTGGAGTAGCCAGTCAGTATTGACATGATGGGAGGAACAAGCCTAAAGATGATGGTGGCATGGGTGAAGGATAAGAGACATTGAGGAGGAATTGACAGTATTGGGAGACTTAACAGGATTTGGGATCCCCGCCCCTGATTTCTACCTTGAACTCAACAGCAGACTGTTCTAAGTGTGGTGGGAACTCCCGGAACCTGGATGCCTGAGGATCGGAAATGTAGCTGAGGGATGAGGGGCAAGTGTTACCCCAGCATATTCTTTAAAACAGGTGCCATTTCATCATGTTTCAAGGTAAAAGATTGATGGTTAATGCTGTTAAACCATATTTTCAGAGGAACTGGGAAGTAGTAAGTGGCATGGAGAAGGAAGTCAGGGTGAGGGCAACTTTCAACTTCCCAGGTAAGTCCTCTGCGCTGGTGTAGTCTTCTTTGCCTCTGGGACCTGAGGTCTGTGGTCACAGACTGACCTCTAGCTGAGCCAAACATTCCTGCCACTTCTGTCTTCTGGGGTCTGGCTATCTGTGGCTCCCATGTCATCCACACTGTTGGGTTAGGTTTTAATCAGAATGCATGGCTTCCTGCATTCCCACTTGTCAGCATCACCAGACTGGGGAGGCCCTTGGGAATCTAAAGCTTGCCCTTAAGCAGAAAGCAGGCCCAGATTCACATCTCTCCCTTTGTGCCTTTCTCCAGAAGTCACCAAGCCCCATAGAGGACACAGGACATTGCCAAGCAGGGTTAAGAACTAAAGTCAGACTGTCATGTACCTTTTGAAAGCATGGCTTCCAGACTATGGGGGCTAACCAGGAAGGCATTGATTTGGGCGTTGTCTCCTACCTTGCTACTTCTCCCTGATAATGGTGCCTGCAGACCATAGTCCATCTCTCTCTGTAGGCCCAGTGCTGAAGGAGACTAGGACTCATCTTGGAGAAGGGCAACAGTCCCAGCCTGGCACCACTTCCCTCAGAACACCAGTGTCCCAAAGTAGCTGCCAAGTTTGTGATCCCACTGATGTCTTATTTCATTCACTAGCTAAGTTTGAAGACAGGGATGCCTGTCGCTGTCTGTCACAGGATTGGCCCACAAGGTTCAGAGCTGGCTTGACACAGTACCTAAAGAGCCAAGCAGACTTTATTTCTGCTGCAACTTTGCTGTTTAGGGTGCCTGTACTTCTCTATCTTCCACCTTTTGCAGCTGCTATAGCAGCAGCAGCAGCTGTAGGCTTTGGCCAGCCTCACAGTCAAGGTTCAGCAATGGTGCAATCATAGCAGAAATTGAAGTTGGTGGGGGGCGGGGGCACAGGTGGTGGCTGGTCAGGGATGGGCACATTCTCCAGCTCCAACAGCTGCAGCTTGGTCTCCATGGTCAGCAGCTGCTCTAGGTCCAGCCGGGTCTGCTCGCTGCCCATGGGGCTACCCAGCAGGGCACTCAACCCATCTGTCCATAGGTAGAACTGGAGACAGATGGGGTCAGGTCATGAGGGCCTGCCCGTCTGTGCCCCCTGTCCATCAGCCCAACTCAGCCTGGCCCTGACACTCACATCCCGTTTGGAGGGGGCAATGAAGTTGAGGTATGCCATTTCCTCACCACGGTCATAGCTGATGGAGAAAGCCAAGTCACAGAGGTCCTAGGGAAGCAGGCAGCAGAGATACTTAGCAGGGAATGGGGCAGGAAGGAAGGAGCCCCTGCTCCGCTGCACTCACCTTGTTCTGCTTCCCAGAGCCCTTCTCCCGGACATGGGGGCAGTCCTTGCCTGTCAGGAGTGCCCTGATGTCAGCCACAGGGACTGCAGGAAGAAGACTAGGCTGACACTGGGACCCTAGGCAACCCCAGGGCGTGGGATATTGGGGGAGAGTGGTCCTGCCATTCTTACGTTGCTCAGGCAGGCTCTCTGGGGTGGGTGTGCCAGTGCCTTCCTCTACATCACCATACTGAAGCACCTTGTAGTTGGGGGACAGGCAGCAGAACCACAGCTTATCTACGTGGGAAATAGGGAAGAGGGTAGGAGTGATGAGAAAGGCCCTGACCTCACCCCAGCCACACCCACCCCTCCTTGCCCACTCAGAGACCCTGGCGTCTCCTGCTGCTGATCTTGTGGAAAAGCGTCCCTTCACAGAGGCGGAGCAAACGCTGTTGGCGAATTAGGCTCAGGAGCTCTGGCTTCAGTTTCTCCCGAAGCTCCCTGGATGGGAGGTTGGGAGTTACTAACCAGGAATGGCCTACAGGGCACCTGGGAAGGTGTAAGCTAGGACTGTGGACCTATCCCAGCAACTCACAGTATGGGAGGAGCCAGTGTGCCCTCCTGGTGCAGCCGCTCCGTCTGCCGCAGCCGCAGCACCTCCCCATAGGTGAGTGCGTTCACCTTGGTCCGGAAGAGCTCCAGGGAGGTGGGCTTCAGGGCCAGTGTTCGGGTCAGTTGCTCCCGTACCACCTGCATGACCTGGGGCCACCTCAAGCTCAGCACAGGGTCTAAGCTCTGGGCCCCTTCCCAGAACAGCCCTCTGCCCTGGCTCTCAGTTCCTGTCCCACCCACCTTGTCAAAATCCTCCTGTGTGGCCCGCATCTCCTTCCAGGTCTTATTCAGCAGCTGGATGGCCACGCAGAAGAGCTCATGGAAGCTCTGGTCTTGGCCGAAGAACATGGGTGAGAAGTCCTGGGCTGTCTCAGAGCCTGGAGCGGGGGGGCAGGAGGGGCTCAGGGAGAAAGTGTGTACAGCCCCTGGCCCTCTCTGCCCTTCCGTCCCCTGTCCCTGGCCACACTGTGCCCAACCCCACTCACAAGGCTCCCCAATGTGGAGCAGCTCGCACAGGAGCAAAGTCAGCTGGATGCTGCTCCGGGCAAAGGGGCACTCATGTTTGTCTTCCCGGCTGCTGTTCTCCAACACAAACTAGGATGGCAGGAGTAGAGAATGGGGCAGTCTCAGCTAAGCCCATGGGGAACCTGCCAAGGGAGGGTGCTGCCATCCCTGCCTCCCAACCTGTCACTGACCCGGCTGTATGCACTGGGCGCTTGTCTGGAGAAGTAGAGCATGTTGTCGAGGGCCAGCAAGCCGGGGGGCACACGCTCCAGGTCCTGTGCTGGGTTGCTGTTCTGGGGGTGGGGGTGTGGGAGCACAGGCAGCTCAGGAAGGGCTGCAGCTCCTGGAAAAACCACAGCCTGAGGGAGGTTGGGTGGGGACTTGGGTAGGGGTCACTCACAGAGAAGCCCAGTTTGCGGAACTCTCGGGCACAGAGGGAACGGCGACGGTCAGCACTTAGCCCAGTGCCCAAGGACTCGCCCTCTGGCTCAAAGGCAGCCTGGCGCAGGGCCTGGAGCTGGTCTCGCTGTTCCTGGTGTCATTGTTTTTTTGGGGGAGGGTGTCAGGATATATATTTTGGATGGGGGTGGAGCTCAGTGCTACAACACTGGCCTACCATGTGTTAAGCCCTGAGTTCAATCCCTGGTACCTCACACATGAAAAGATCACACATTCAAAGCCAAGTCCAAGCCACCCTCCACCTGTGTCCCTGCCAAAGACATACCTGGCTGTAGGGGTCAACTGGTGTCCGCATGCGTGGCTCTAAAAGCCCCAGTGTGAGGGCCTGCAGCACATACAGATGATGGGCCATCTCATCACCCAGTGGCGCTGCACTATGAATGATGTTCTGGAAGACAGGCAGACTGTGGGCTCGATGGGAGGAGAGCCGTGGGGAGGGGTCTCCCTGGAATGGCCCTTCCTACCTTGTAGATGAATTGACGAAAGTTCCTTTGCCATAGGTAGTCTAGCATGTGCTGAAGTGGATGGGAAGGAGACTTAGGTGATTTGGCTCCAGAGTGGAGCAGAATGTCCATCAGGTGCCATCTTCCCATCCAGGCACTGGGTGGGCACTCACCTTACGTTCAGCATGGCTGGCCCCCTGCAACAAGGCTGTCAACAATGCCATCACCTTGGTTTGCAGCTGCTGGTTCATCCTATGGAAGGAGGTGTGCAGCGATCAACTGAACATCTAGGGCCCAGCCCTGCTCCCCCATGTGTACCCCACCCCAGAGCCTTACACCTGCAGATGCACCAGCAGTCTGTCCAGTGGCACTTCACTCTTGACCAGCTGGCCTAGGGCAGGGCTGCTCAAAGTCACACTCTCGAGCAGCCGGAGGGCCAGGGGCTGCACAGAGGCATCCATCAGGTTCATGTTCACATAGCCCACCACCTGTAAGAGCAGTAGGGGGTTGTCCTCACCTTGCCAGCATGGACAGTCAGATCCTGGGACTGCCCTACTGCCCCCTCCTATTGCCCTTAGAAAATCCCACCCACCTTCCTGACAAAGGGAATGCTGAGGGTCTCCCAGGATACCACGCCGTGCTCCATGAGCTCCAGGAAGGACCTCAGCCCAAGGGCCAGCACCTCCCCTAGACTGGGGTGTGGGGGAGACATCTGGGGCTGAGCAGGACCAGACCAAGGTCCCAAGCCCCATCGTCCCCCCAGCCCACCACAGCCCTGTGCTCACTCGTCCCCATCCTCAATGATTGTGCCTAGTCTCTGAAGCCCATCACGGCTGATGACCTCCTGGGCAAAAGTCATGTCTGAGGCCAACAGGACGAGGTGCCTCAGGGCTTCCCGGCGGCCTTCGCGACTTGCACTCTGCAGGCCACCCAACAGCCTCTCAGCTTCAAGGTCCTGGCCAGGGTGGGAACAGGGCTGAAATGAGGAGGTTGGACAGAAAGGGGGCAGGTGTCCGCTAGGTGGCGCCCTGCTGGCTGGGGCCAGGCCTCCAGACCTGCGGCAGAGACTCAAGATAGAAAGATGCACAGCGGAGGGGTAGTCAGGAGAAAGGTGGGGCCAAGAGGGACATTACTGGGGCGGTGCTGAGGCACAGGATGCTGCCATTCTTGATCTCCCCGCGGTTCTGGAGAAAGAGCAAAAAGGGGAGCCAAGTCAAAGAGCGCTCTGAGGAATGGTCAGCTGCATTATCATGAGGGTTTCGCGGGTCAGAAAATGAAAGTTCATATTCGGATAAGAGAAGGATGAGTCTTTGGAATGAGGGGCAGGTGTGGTGAGGATTATAGGTGGGTATGTGGGGCGGGGACGGGACTCACATTCTCGGTAATGTATCTCCTGCGCCCGTCAGCAAACTGCAGGGCATAGCGCTGCGAGTGAGTCAGGCTCCACCTGCGGGGCGCGGAGCTCAGGAAGGCTGGCAGGGGCACCTGGGGGCCCACCCCTCCCCCAGCCCAGCCCAGCCAGCCCAGCCCTCCACACTCACGCGTCGCACACTTCCTTCAACACAGCGGCCAGGGGCTTTGCCTGCAAATGGAGCTGTCACGCACGGGGCGGGAGTGGAGACAGTTTGGAGGGGGGACCTAAGGGAGGGGTAGAGTTGGCTACCCCGTGGGGAAAGGGAACGACCTAGAGGTGGGCAGCAGGGCACATGGGGGCGGACAGGCCTGGTGACCTGGTCCAGCTGGATGAGCTGCGGTATGGCGTCACGCATCTGGACGGCAATCTTCACCACGTTCCGCGGGGGCGCCATGCTCCAGACGGCCGTGAGTGCCTGCGCTTTCCACGAGCCGCACCACCTCCAGCCCGGGGAGCACCTACTCTGGGGCCCCTACAGACGAAGGCGTCCCTGTCTGCGACCTGGTTCTGGTGCCTCGCAGTTACTGCCCAGAAATTTCCTACTTGCGTCCAGGAGCTGCGGCCTTCCCAAGGGAGCCAGGGCTAGTTCCGGGTTGGAATCCCGGGAGCTGGAGGGTAGGACGGCGCTTGCCCCGCCCGCCCCGCCAGAAGCCCCGCCCCGTGCCAAGGTGCAGCAGGTGGGGGCAGGGAGGGCAGGTTGCCTCACCTCCCATTCTAGCAAGGTGACCCACCCAGTCCTGCCACCAATCCAGCACTGTCCCTGGAGAGGCCCCAAAGAACCAGATCAGAGATAGCCTTAGGCATGGTCTTTATTCAATCGGATACTGTACAAATATTACAATTTCCTTTTGCTGCAAAAAGTATAAAAATAATCTTTATATAGGAATTCATTCATTACTGTAAATCTTTCTAAATCTTTGTAAATGGCTCTAAATGTGAGTAAATGAATAAATGGAAATTAGAGGGTATCAAGAGGTTGGGCCAAGCCTCAGGGACCCACCTACCCAGATTCCTAGACCTCATTTCCATCTTGTTAACACCCCCGCCCCTAGGCCACCTGTAGGTTTCCAGGATTCAGAGATCAGCAGAAAGGGGGGTGGAGAGGGGGCACATGAAAGGTCCAGGGGAAGCTGTAGGGTGAGCAAGTAGGAAAGGAAGCTAGCTAGGGTGGTATCTGGCAAGTGCCCAGCTCTACCCCATGCTTCTCTCCTGGGTGGGGACAGCAGGAACAGGGCAACTGGCTAGACAAGCTGCCCTATGCGGGCGCTGGCTGGTTTGTGCCACTGTGTGGCAGCTGGCTGGGGCTGGGGAAGGTTCCAGAAAAGGAGAGGCAAACACTTTGGCTCCACGGTGGAAAGGACTGAGCCCCTTTTCCCACCCTGCTAGCACAGTGCCAGTGCCAGGGCAGGAGTAGGAGGTGTGGCCAGAACTGTACAGAGCGGGAAGGCTGGGGAAGCCAGGAGTCTGTGGCTCTCAATTATGCAGAGGTCGGGTGGTGGGCATCCCCGGGCAGCCCCAGCTCAGTCTGGGTCCTGACCACACAAGGCATGTCCTTATCAGTCAGAGGTTGAGAACAGGCACGTCAAAGAGATCACAGACACCTTCACTCTCATCCAGGTTGTAGATGTAATCGTGGTCTCCAGGGGGAGGAGAAAGGCGGAGGAGGGGGGCAAACACTGTAGAGAGCACTAGACTGAGGGCCTGGGCCAAGAACCCATCCAGCAGCCACCCAAGCCCCTGGCCACAGCCAAATTCCCCCCAACCTTCCTAGACACCCACCTTCTGAGGACATCAGCTCCTCCAGCAGCTCTGAGCTCATGCACTCTGAGAACAGAAACAACTAAGTTATACACGGGCTCCAACCACAGTCCATGAAGGGGTTCCCCTTTACCCTTTGCCCTGGGTACCAAGCACAAAAAGGTCCTCAGAAGGGCAAAAATAACAACCATAGCACTCAATGAGCCATGTCCCTTACCCCTGGCCCCGTGGTGGTATATGGCCTACCTCGTGTAGGGTCAAAGATTTCTGACAGCTCTTTGGGGAGTTCAAGAACTGAAAGACAAGAAAGCTGTGCTCAAGGCAGAGGTTCAGCCTGGTCCCAAAAGAGCCCTCACCTGCCTCGGAACCTATACCACTCATCCCTGGGGCTCCACATAGCTGAGGAAATATAGGCCCTGTCTGGAGCCAAGCTGTGGGTTATTGGTCTCCTTTGCTAGACCTGACTGATTCAGTGCTGAGCCCAGGGTACCAAAGATCCATCACAGGTGACGGGTACAGCCTCTCTATGTCAGAGGCACTGCAGAAGGTCAACAGACTCCTAACCCTCACTGGGCTCTGTGTGTGTCCTGTGTGATGGAAGATGCCCCATCTGCTCTCACTTTTGCTAAGCACCTGCCATGTGCCTGGCTGAGACCATATCTTGGACCAAGTAACTTGGCAGAGATGGAGGTACACACTTTGGCAGGGGATACTGCTACAGGGTGAAGATCCCACAAGTCTTTGACCATGAGAACACATTTGGGAAGAAGAAAATGAAACTGAAGAGGATCCTGACTGGCATCATTTGCCAAACTTAGGAGCTCAGATTTTTTTACCAGCTGACCTTAGGGAGCCATTGAAGGTGTGTGTGCATGTGTGCATGTGTAGGTGTGCTAGGGATTAAACTCAGAGCCTCACACATGCAGAGTATACACTGTACCACTGAACTATATTCCAGCCATGAAAGCACTTTTTTTTTTTTGAGGGGGGCAGTACTCGGGATTGAACCAAGAGCCTTCACACAGAGCTACATTTCCAGCCCTTGAACAAATTTTTTTGAGACAGGGTCTCACTAAATTGCCCAAGCTGGGCTCAAACTTTTAATCTTCCTGCCTCAGCCTCCACAGTGCTGAGATTACAGGTATACACTACCACACCTGGCCCTGAAGGCACTTGCCACAGTCAGGGTTACCTTTCAGAAAGATTATTCTATCAGTAAGAGTAAAGGGAAGGGAGCTGACATGTCTAGAATCTAGATGGCCAGTAGTCATTCTGAGTGCTGAGGATACAAGACAGTAAGAGACATCTCAGACAACTCTTTGGGCCAATGTGGATAGGTGGCAAGAGAGAGAACTGGGGTAACATCCAGGTGTCAAGCCTGGGTGGGTGACTAGGACCAATGGAAGTGTGCCCACAGAAATGGAAAAGCAAATTTTAGAATGAAATAGGTTCACTGAGGACATGCAGGAACAAGGTATTCACTGGAGATGCAGAAAATAGCAGTAGAGATAGAGAGAGGTATGGAGCTCAGGCAACAGATCCAGACAGTGGAGATTTGACTCTCCAGAGCTGGGGCTCTTCCCAGGTGCCAAATGGGACAAAGCCCTACAAAGAGCCAATGGTTAAGCAAGCATCAGGGAGAGATGGAAAAGAAGCAAGTGAGGTAAGAGAGAAAACTGCCTCATTCAACTCAAAAAAGGAAAGAGTATCAGCAGGGAGCAAAAGAGGAACCTGCTGGATTTGGCACCTCATCAAGAATAGCACTGCAACAGAACTGGGGCAGGGTCCTACCAGCTTCAATCCGAGGGTGAGTAGACCATCAAGATGGATAGAATTAGGAATTACTCTTTCAAGGAATCCAGACACAGATGACATGGAACATAGGAGGGGCAGGGAGTTCCACATTGACCCTGGCTGGTAGAGCTCTGGTATCAGACAGAAGCTGACAGAGGAGGTTGTGTCTGACCTAGGACTGGGCTGAGGTTACTCTTCTTGCTGCTCCCTGCAGGGCAGTTACTCACCACCTGTGGGGTCCACTTTGATGGGCTCAAAGGAGGTAGACGGGTTGGGTTCAGATGAACTGCTAGTGCTGCTGCTGCTGCTGCTGCTGCTGCTACTGCTGCTGCTGTCCAGCAGGGCAGAAGACTGCAGTGGCCGGGTGTCTAGCACGGCCGGGCCCAGTGGGAGCGAACGGAGCTCACCACCATCCTTGCTCCCAGTTCCAGGGTCACCACTCACTGCAACCACATCCCCAAACCCAGTTACATGGGGGCAGAAACTGGGTCACTGAAACTGGCTAGGCTAGAACTCTCGGCCAGGATGACCACAGTACGTCTGGTTCCCAGATCAAGGAATCAGGCATTGCTAGTCAGCCCAGAAAAGGAAAACTAGAAATGAGTCAATGAAGGGAACAAGGCCTGTAGAGGGAAGGTTCACGGACAACAATGGTCTAAGAGGGGCTATCAGGATATATGAGTCTCGACAGATCTGGAAGAATCTGCCACCACTAGATGCCCCTTTACAAACTCACAGCTTCCCTGTTTAAAGGGCTCATTCACTAGCACAGTAGGGAGACGAGGGGGGCAGGGATCAGGGCAAAGCAATCTCTGACAGTCTTTTCCAATCCTGATTGTGGTGCTCTACAACACTACTGCCTCTGGGCCCCCAGAAGATAAGCCCATGACCAGCTGCCCACCGTGCCTTACCTGTGACCTCAGCTGCTGGGCCAGTCACCCCCGGGACTTCAGTGCTTCCAGGAACAGGAGTAGAGGTGGTCAGCTGGGGACTGCTTGGACGTGAGGCTTCCTGAGGCTGGGCTAAGGCAGGCTTGGGCAGAGGTGGAGGGGTAGAAACAGCGGATGAGCTCTGGAGCAGATCCTCAGGAGGTGGCACAGGAACAGCCACAGGTGGTGAACTCCATGCCTCCTTGTTCACCAGCAGTACCTCAATGGGGCCACTGATACTCTTCAGATGAATCTGGTATTTCTTCTGTCCATTGAGGCCCTGGAGGTAGGGGACGGGGGAAAGTAGAACTGCAAACAGGCATGGCTCTTGCTTTATTCTAGGTCAGGGCCAGTGTCCTCTCCCACTCAGGCTGTTCATCCTCATAGATAACCCCAAGCCACAGGCCTCTCCCTACCTGCCCCACCCGGGTCTTATCAGGCTCCACAGCCAGAACCAGCCCTCACAACCAGCTGACATCGCCTGGCTAGGCTGAGCACCCACCTCTGGGATGGGCACCTCCAGGCTGGTGCCTGACGGGGCCCGAATGGCCAGGAGAGTGTCTCCTAAAACAAAAAAGACAACGGGGTCAGGGCCACAGGCTCAATCTGAGCTCAGAATGAAGATGCTTGCTCCCAGGAACAAGATAGGACTATAGTCTCTAAAGGACTCGACAGTGGGCATCTGTCATCCCCACAGCAGCTGGGGCAGAGCTAAAACTCCTCTAGCAGCCCTGTCTCAATGACCAGGAAATCTGGGTTCAAATACATTTGTGGAGTGAGAGATGGCTGGCCATGAACACCTTACTCCTAAACTGATGATGCTGATCCCTAGAAACAGGTATTCTGGCCAAGGCCAATGGCCCCTTCCCAGAATAAGTCTAGGGGATACAAGATGGAATGGGGAAGGATAAGCTTCTATACCCACAATGCAACTGAACTAATACCAGGTTGAAAGCGTGAGCTGCTGCCCTCTGCATATAGCATGAGAAAATGTGTGCACACGAGAGTGTTCTCTTTCTTTCTTTCCTTTGTGCTTCTGTCGTGCCCAAACAACCAAATCCAAAATACAATGCTGGAGGGACAAATCCAAGGACCCATCCCAGGATGTTTGCACCCTCTCAGTGTAGTTGACCTCCAACCAAGTGACACCTAAACTAAGGACTTACCCTG